AAGCCACATCCACAGAACTGGTAGTAAAAAAATTTGAAACCCATCACTGATCAAGACTGATTACCCTTCCTTTTCAAAGATTTCTCTAATTCCCTTTCAGAGGTTCGTAGCTGATAATACATCTTCTGAGCTGGACTTTGTTTCTTTCCCTGTTGATTTGAATGTTTTCCTGCTTCCAAGTAGCTTCTTCAGTCTGAGAAAGTTGGTTAGGGCAGTGTTCCCCAACCTTTTCAGGTTAGCGGCCTGATGCAGGGGCGAGGGGGAAAAGATGGGATGGTTTTGTATGAAGGGCAGGTGTTCTTTAAAGCAGCAAGTCCCATGTTTTACTGTGTTTGTGTTTCTTTTAAAGGAAAGACCTTGATTAAACTTGGGTGGTTTTGTGAGATTGGAGAAAAGCCTTTTTATTCATATAATGAACTATTTTCCATCCTCTGTCATCCCTCGCTTCTTCACTTTCCTGCAGTGTCTGTAATCCTTCCCAATTGCTCTTCTACAACCCAAATCAATTTAGTTCTCTCTTGGAGTAGCTTCTTCAGGACTGGAAACCATTACTAAGTATGGTTGGGGTCACAGCATAGATTTACATAGATTATTAAAGAGAACTGTTGATTCCAAAACTGAGTTTTATTTTTTTTTCAATATGCCACATTGTGAAATGACTGAGCTTTTATTTGACTTTTCCATCATTATATTTTTGTCCAAATTAATATTATAAGTCAGCTTCTTTCCCAGAACAGGACAATTTCTAATGTCTTATTCCTCCTCACTTTTTATGTTGTTTATCATCTTTCTGATGATGAGTTGTAAAACGATTGAGAATGATAGCATATTTTTTCAATATGCCAGACTAGAACAAGTAGACACAAGCACAGTTTTTTCCCGAATGCCATCATTCTACTAAACAAATAATTCCCTCAACACTGTCAAACTATTTACTAAGTCTGCACTACTGTTAATCTTCTCATCATTCCTATCACCCATCTCCTCCTATTTATGACTATATGACTGTAACCTTTTTTCTTGTATCCTTATGATTTATATTGATATTGCATCCTGATTGCTTATTTGTACCATATGACTATCATTAAGTGTTGTACCTTATGATTCTTGACAAATGTATCTTTTCTTTTTATGTACACTGAGAGCATATGCACCAAAGACAAATTCCTTGTGTGTCCAATCACACTTGGCCAATAAAGAATTCTATTCTATTCTATTCTATTCTATTCTATTCTATTCTATTCTATTCTATTCTATTCTATTCTATTCTATTCTATTCTATTCTATTCTATTCTATTCTCTCAATTAACATGCAATGCATCTCTTGAATCCATCTCACAGCCACAAAGAGGAGGGGGGTCAAATTATTTTGCAAAGCACCAGAAGGCAGGACAAGAAAGAATGGTTGGAAACCAATCAAGGAGAGAAACAACCTGGAATTAAGGAGAAACTTCCTAACCGTGAGAACAATTAAGCAGTGGAACAGCTTGCCACCAGAAGTTGTAGGTGCTTCATCACTGGAGGTTTTGAAGAAGAGACTGGACAGTCACTTCTCTGAAATGGTATAGGGTAAGAAGACCTCTTAAAATAAGAAGAAGAAAAGGTCCCTTCCATTTCTATTGTGATTGAAATGATACTCAACTATACATTCTTGGTCCTGTCAAATTAAGCATTCAAGCTGTTGATATCCTGTCTCAGTGTCTGGAGTTTTGGAGGTCTGGAAGGGAAGAAAAATGCTTCAACTGAAACCTGGAAAGACGAAGTGGCTTTAGGCTTAAGGCCCTTCCAGTTCCAGGATTTTATTAGATTTTGTACTGGAGGTTTTAAAGAAGAGACTGGACAGTCACGTCTCTGAAATGGCATAGGATCTCCTGCTTAGGCAGGGGTTTGGACTAGAAGACCTCCAAGGTCCCTCCCAGGTCTATTCTGATTGACTACCTAAGAGACAATATTTTTTGAGCTTGAGCTTTATGGAGAAAAGTACAAAGATCTGAGCTACAGAAGGACATGCAAAGATCACTAGAATGAGTATTTCTGAAAGATGTCTAAAACAAAGCAAAAAAGCATCTATATCTTTCTGCTGCAGGAGAAACTTACCCCAGACTATAAGTAATCTTGGATGGGTCTTTACTAAAGTCTGGGATATTGAGGTATTGGATGGTTGTCAGGAGAATATTCCCACCAATAATGAGATCACCGGGCCTGTAATATTCTTGCTGAATCTGGAAAGTGTTTGGCAACAGACCTATCTTTGGCATCTGCTTAGCATGAGCTGGAGGCAGGAGCCAGAAGAGCAGAAGTAGCAGAAGAGGCAACCCAATCATTCTGGCCAATTTCTCTCCTAGATAAAAAATCAAGGATTCTGCAGAAGATGAATTGCAGGGAGCACCTGAAATCTCAACAGAGCTTTAGCAGAGTAGAGATTGGCCTGCAGCCTGGATGCTCTTGGTGCAAATTTATACCTATCATGTTTTCTCTTACCTGTGTTTGGGCTTTGACCAAAGTCGAAACTAAGGCCAGCTAAGTCTCACCAAACCCAGGAATTAGTTCTTTGCAAGACAAGGTAACGTGACATATGACATAAATCTGCCCCAAAAGGAAACCTCAGAGCATATTTTTGTAAAGCAAGTTTATGTCGTAAGAATTTTAGGGGTTGAAATCCAGAGGGAATGCATTGAGAATTACTGTTCTTTTGATAATTGCAAGGGAAAGCAGTATCCTTCTCATTTAAGCATTACATTGTGTTTGTGCACCAGGAAGGGAAAAATATGTTTATGTCTCTTGTAATCCACAGAGGAAATAGACTTGAGAGTTAAGGGGAAGTTGGGTATTTGACATACAGTACATGAAACTGAGCTACCAGCTCTCAGTGTTGGTTGGAGGGGACAAATTGAGCCCCTGATTTTCAAGATGCCTCAGTGAGGCCTTCTCTGTTCAATATCAGAGCCCACCATGACATTGATCAAACTGAATTAAGCTACTAAAACACATTTTTGTATGATTACTTTTAGTTTGCAGCCATAATAGCTCTCTTGGTTATGGCCAAAGCAATCCTAATTCAGCATTGTCTTTCAGGATGCCCAAGCAGATAACTCTACATTGACTACAAGTGGGAGAAACACACTCCTCACTCACTATTGTTCTTCTCTCCTGTTACTATGCAGGCATGTGACTCACAATACCAAGGGGCTTGGTGGCTCAGCAGACTGATAGCATTGTGATTAACACCAGTTGTCTGCAATTACTATAAGTTTGAATCTCACCAGGCTCAAGGCTGACTCAGCCTCCCATCCTTTCTAAGGTAGGTAAATTGAGGACCCAGCTTGTGTGGGCAATAAGCTGACTTTGTATAAAATGTACAAAAGTATGAAGGCTATTGCTTAACGCATTGTAAGCCATCCTGAGTCTCCGGAGAAGGGCGGCATATAAATCAAATTTTAAAAAAACCCAACAAAACCTCACACTAAGTCATCAAGACTGATCACCCTTCCTTTTCAAAGATTTCTCTAATTCCCTCTCAGAAGCTAGTAGCTGCTAACACATCTGAGCTGAATTGTTTCTTTCCCTGTTGGTTTGAAATGTTTTCCCGCTTCCAATAGCTTCTTCAGTCTGAGAAAGTTGCTTAGGGCAGCGTTCCCCAACCTTTCCTAGTGACCCAGCGCAGGTGGGTGGGGGAGAAGAGGGGATGGTTTTGGGTGAGGGGCAGGCATTTGTGCCCACCATTTGTGCGAGTGATGCCATGAGTGCCATTGCCCACGGTGAGCATGAGTAGGGCCTTGAACTCTGGAGCCGGCTTCTTTTGTGACTTGAGCTGTGCATGCTGAGCAGCCCACCACTCAGCCCAGTTGCAAATAGGCCACATTCCGATAGTGGGCCATGGGCCACAGGTTGGGAAACCCTGGGTTAGGGGAATCCCATATATGTCCTCCAGAGTGGATGGAGTGGAGTGGAGTGGAGTGGAGTGGAGTGGATTGGATTGGATTGGATTGGATTGGATTGGATTGGATTGGATTGGATTGGACTGGACTGGACTGAACTGAACTGAATTGCATACTTTATTTGGCCAAGTGTGATTAGACACACCATTTTGTGCAGTGGTGACATTCAAAAATTTTTACTACTGGTTCTGTGGGTGTGGCTTGGTGGGCATGGCAGGGGAAGGATACTGCAAAATCTTCATTCCCACCCCACTCCAGGGGAAGGATACGGCAAAATCTCCATTCCCTCCCCACTCCAGGGGAAGGATATTGCAAAATCTCCATTCCTACCCCACTATGGGGTCAGCCAGAGGTGGTATTTGCCGGTTCTCCGAACTACTCAAAATTTCCACTACTGGTTCTCCAGAACCTGCTGAATTTGACCTCTGATTTTGTGGATCCTTTTCAGTCTGGGCTCAGACTAGGGTTCAGTACTAGGAAAGCATGGTCATACTTGCTCATCACTTTTGTAGATCTTGGGACATTATCCTGACTCTCCCAGATTTCTCAGTGGTTTTCAATATCATTGACAATGGTATCATTTGGGCCTGGATGGATAGAAGTGGTAAGCACTGCCTTGCAGTGGTTTTCCTTTTTTCTTTGCAGTCAGTTCCAGATGGTTTAGAAGAATAGTTCAGCCTTAGCACTTGAAGTATGAGGTGCCTTAGGACTCAGGTCCCTCATCTTTCTTCTACAACCACATTAAAATCCTGGGTGAGACCATTTAATGCCAGGGATGCAGTATGATTGGAATGCTAATTGTGCCATATCCTGGACCTCTGGCTCTGCTCATTGTCAATCACGCCTTGGTCAATTCTCATTTGGAATATTGTAACATATTCCCTATTGGACATCCCTTGAAGTCCACTTGGCAGTTACAGATGTTCCAATTGTACAAAGCCTCAGGAATTTATGGAAACATACATGTTCTGAAACCTTGATAATGAATTTAACACTTTAAAAGACAAACATACTAAAATTTACATTAAAAGGAACAAAATGAGAAGATGCATTCCATGAAATAAGATCAATATCTTTAATACCGAGCTTTATTTCCATGCAAGGCTGGGTAATTGTTGCTGACAAGTGGTACATTGTGACTAGACATAGCATTTGATAAATGATTATTAAATAGGCAAAATCCTTCATGTTTTTTTTTTTTAGAAATGTTATCCATTTAATGAAAACTCTCAAAGACAAATATAAAAGTGGCCTATCCTTGCATTAGTTAGAGATTCTTGTTTCTTATCATATTTTCTTTACAGTTAAGATGGGGTCTCAGTAGGATAATGAAGCTTTTAGGGAAAAAGATGCAAGCCAAGAGACCAGCCCCAGAGGCCAAGATGGAGAAGATCTCCACAGCCACCATGAACTTCCCTTTGGTGCTCAGATAGGTGGGGAGGAAACTGATCCAAACACTGAAAAAGACCAGCATGCTGAAAGTAATGAACTTGGCTTCATTAAAGCTGTCAGGCAGTTTCCTAGCTAGAAAGGCCACAGTGAAGCTGATGAGGGCCAGGAAACCCAGGTAGGCAAGGACAATGTAAAACATTAAAGTTGCGCCTTCATTACATTCCAAGATTGTTTCTCCTACCAAGGAGTGGAAGTCCATGTTGGGAAATGGGGGAGAAGTTGTCAGCCAGATGGCACAAAGAACTGCTTGGACTAGGGGACAGGTGATAACAATGGAGTTAGTAAGTGGTTTTCCTAAGAGTTTCCTTGTCTTGTTCCCTGGTTTGGTAGCCATGAAGGCCAGAACCACCATGACAGTTTTTGCCAAGACAGAAGAAACTGCAAGGGAAAATAGAACGGCAAAGGCTGTTTGTCGTAAGAGACAGGTGAGCTTCCCAGGTTGACCAATGAAGAGGAAGGAGGAGAGGAAGCAGAGCAGGAGGGAGACCAGGAGGAGGTATGTGAGATCTCGGTTGTTGGCCTTGACAATCGGTGTGTCACAAAACTTAAGAAAAATTGCCAGGACTGCAGAAGTCATCACAGAGAGTAAAAGAGCTAGAGAAACTAAAGTGTATCCCAGGGTCTCTTGATAGGAAAGGAAGTGGAGCATCTTGGCAATGCATTGATCCTTGTCCTTGTTAGGAAACTGGTTTTCTGGACACGGGTCACAGCGAGCTGCATCTGAAAACAAGATATTTGTCTAAGTATTTCAGCTGTCTCTGAAATTAAGATCTCTGTCTCACAAAGTGTCTTAATCATGACTTCTTTCTTCAGAGGCCACCTCAATCAGAAGTTGATACAAGGATCCATAGTGTGTCTTATAATGCACCAGAAAGAGTAGATCTTCTGTAATTCCAGGTGAACGAGGGGATGAACTGTTCCTAGATAGGGATCTGTTGAGTTCTAATGGCCTTAAACATTGGTTATTAAGTTTAAGGTTAGAGGTTTTCGTTTTACATTGGAATATCAATTGATCTGTCAGCCACAAATTCTGCCACTTGATTTTTTTGTCTACATCAGGTTTTTTTTTCTCAATCTCAACAGCTTCGAGATGTCCAGACTGCCAGAAACCATGATATCTGGGGAATTCTGGGAATTCAAGTCAACATATCTGAAATTCAGTGAGGTTGAGAAATGTTAAAGTATATTGTCAGTTGGTTTGTATAACCAGACCATAAAAGGGAAACACACATCAACATAATTATGGAGTGCAGGGGTGGGTTCTAAATTTTTTTACTACCGGTTCTGTGGGCGTGGTTTATTTTGTGGGCGTAGCTTGATGATCATGTGACAATTCTTTAGGATTTAGCAGAGGTACTGGTCTACCAGGCTTTTAACTTCTTGCAGAGCTGTACCGGTCTACCCATTTGTTCTTTGAGTGTCCTGGTCTACACATTTGTTTTTGGAGGCACCGGAGTACCCATTTGTTTTCGGAGGCACCGGTCTACTCATTTGTTTTTGGAGGCACCGGTCTACCCATTCGTTTTTGGAGGCACCAGTCTATTCATTCGTTTTTGGAGGCACCGGTCTACCACCACGCTGCCTTTTAACACTGATCAGCTGTAGGGCGGCCCTTTGAAGCCCCGCGGCAAGAGTTTAAACAGATTTTTTCCTTCTAGCCGATCAGCTGGGACTCAGGAGGCAGCAATAGATTGGGGTGGGGCCAAATAAAAGGTAAGAATAATGCGGGGGGGGCGGGGTAAAAAGGTAAGAATAACGCGGGGGGGCAGGGGGCGGGAGGGCCCAGCTCCCGAATAAAGAGAACCGGTTCGGTGACATCATATTGTCACCGCTACTGGCTAGGCCGAACCGGGCCCAAACCGGGAGGAACCCACCACTGATGGAGTGGGAAGTGGGCTACAGAAGGTGCCCTTAGCCTGATCAAAAGTGATTCTTAGAAAAAATGGTTTTAGGAGGTGAAAAGAAAAAAGACCCAGAGGAAGAGGTGGGCTGCGCTGGTTTGGACCGGTTCGCTCGTACAGGTAGTTCCAATCATCGGCTGGTCCCGTCCACCCACCCCGGTGCTATCCCGTCCTATATATCTCACTCTCTGGCTCACTCGCCCCACCCATGCAACCCAGCTGATTTCTACACCTTGCCCACTCTACTCACTGCAGCTGCACAAGAAGTTGTGCTGGAAGCCACGTGCATGAAATTGCCGTGTGTTTGAAGCCACATGCTCACATTTTCGGTTCTGCAGTAGGCGAACCGGTTGTTAAATTATGTGAAGCTCACTTCTGCCCAGAGGCTCAATAAATAAGAGTTTTGTGCCTTGAAGTGTAAGAGTATTTCAAATATGTTCCTCCCATCACTCAGGGTAGCAGAAGAGTGTTAGCAGGCATAGAGAGACTGATCTTTTCTTTCTTCCAAAGATCTATCAATTTATCTGGGACATCTTAGCACTGAAAGAAGAAAAACTGCATTCAGTTTTGGTCGCTACGATGTAAAAAAGATGTGGAGACTCTAGAAAGAGTGCAGAGAAGAACAACAAAGATGATTAGGGGACTGGAGGCTAAAACATATGAAGAACAGTTGCAGGAACTGGGTATGTCTAGTTTAATGAAAAGAAGGACTAGGGGAGACATGATAGCAGTGTTCCATTATCTCAGGGGCTGCCACAAAGAAGAGGGAGTCAAGCTATTCTCCAAAGCACCTGAGGGCAGGACAAGAAGCAATGGGTGGAAACTAATCAAGGAGAGAAGTAACTCAGAAGTAAGGAGAAATTTCCTGACAGTTAGAACAATTAACCAGTGGAACTGTTTGCCTCCAGAAGTTCTGAATGCTCCAACACTGGAAGTTTTTAAGAAGATGTTGGATAACCATTTGTCTGAAGTGGTGTAGGGTTTCCTGCCTAAGCAGGGGGTTGGACTAAAAGACCTCCAAGGTCCCTTCCAACTCTGTTATTCTATTCTAGTCTAAATAACAAATCATAAATAACACAAATTAAGACTTGAGTCCCCAACTAAGCCACTCATTCAGGATAGTGATCAGGAAGAGTTTTCCCATGAATACCTGACATTGGATGGAAGTGGAACGGAGGCCAGGGACTGACCAATTCCAGTCCTGGAACTAATGTGTATTCTGTCAGCGTTCCAAATTAGGCTCTCTTCCAACGCTGACATGAACGGGAGGAAGCAGAGAGCAGGAGCTTGATTTATTGCTGAGATGAACTTTTACCTAGTTTTTTGTATGTTACAGATAGTGTTTCCTGGGTGACGAGGTGGGGGCCACATTCCTGTGAAAAGAACGTGCCGGGATGTAGAGATGGATCTGCATGATGGCCAATGGGACATTGGGGTTGGAGAGCGGAAGAGGAGGGGGTTGGAAGGAGGGGCCAGTTTGGCTGCAACTTGAATCAGGAATGTCGGATTCTGCTATTCTTAAAATAAAAGTGATTCATTAGAGACTTTGTGCTTGAGAATGAAGTTTATTTAAGATAGCACCGAAACCTGACATATTCAATGGTGGGAGGACAAGGCTGCCCAATTCTTGTTCCTCAATAGTAAGGATTTGAAAATGTGGGGGCAGGACAATTTAGGCCCTTATTCTGAAGATTTCTTCTGAAAAAAATTGAGTATTGGTAATAAACCTGCCAAAAGCAAAAAAGAAAATTAAATCTTATGATTATGTTAACTGCTTCCTGGGCTTGGGAATATCTACAGTGGAAGGGAGCATCTGAAGACTGCCCTGTTTATTTACTTTATTATTTATCATATTTGTATAGCTGCCCATCTCATAAGAGAATGACTCTGGGTGGTATACAACACTTAACTAAAAAAAAAGAAACAAATAAATACACGCAAAACACTTGATAATGGTTGTTATTATTTTTTTAAAAAAACTATAAAACTGTGCACATGAAACATGAAACCAAGATGTTAGCCACAGTAAGGGAACTATCACAGGTTTTCTGGGATTCCCAGGCATGATAGTCATAGTTTCTTTCTCCCAGGAAGACCTACAATGGGAAGAGGTTTTGCAGGTTTGCTCTACCTGTCTGATTAGAAACGGTCCCTTCTGGACAAGGGTCACATTGGTAGCAGCAAACCTGCTTGCCCTCTGGAACTCTTCTCCTCTCTCCTGCCTGGCACCTCTTCATGCCACACCTGGCAAAGGGCACCTTCTAAAAGAGAAAAGAGAAATGCTTGAGTTGGCCTAAGCAACGAACATGCTTCATTTATTTGTTTCCGGATTCCTATTTCCATCTCAAAAATGCCTTCAAAGGAAACGGTTCATTAGGATCAACAAGAAACCAGGAACAGCTGTTGAGTCAATCCAATCCCTTAAATGCTTGCTTTGTTGGGTTCGTCAGATGGAACCTTGACACTTGGGAGATTCAGGCCAGTGACATTCCCAACCCACCAATAAATCCTTTTCTAAAAACAAAGAATAATGAAGAACCATCCGAACCAGAATGATCCATGGAAAATATATAATAATAATAATAATAATAATAATAATAATAATAATAATAATAATAATAATAATAATAATAATAATAATAATAATTTTATTTCTATACCGCCCTTCTCCCGAAGGACTCAGAGTGGTGTACAGCCTATTTAAAAACACAGACAAAACAACAATATAAAATTTAAAATAATTAAATAAAGTGGCTCAAATTTAAAACCCCAATAAATTTAAATACCCCAATTTAAAACTATTGTGTTGATAGTCCGGCCTGGCGGAACAACAGGGTCTTCAATGTGCAGCGAAACACCCGGAGGTCGGAGATCTTACGAATTTCCGGGGGCAGTTCGTTCCACAGGGCTGGGGCTCCCACAGAGAAGGCCCTCCCCCTGGGCGTCGCCAGCCGACATAACTTGGCTGATGGCACCCTGAGGAGACCCTCTCTGTGGGAACGGACTGGTCGGTGGGAGGCTATTGGTGGCAGAAGACGGTCTTGGAGGTACCCGGGTCCTATGCCATGGAGCGCTTTAAAGGTGGTAACCAACACCTTGAATCGCACCCGGAAGACCACTGGGAGCCAGTGCAGCTCGCGCAGGAGGGGTGTCACATGGGCACAACGGGTGGACCTGCTGAAATTTTCTGATTCAGTAGACTGTTCTGTCCCCGTCTCCACACACACACACACACACACAGCCAGCCGAGGGTTAAAGGAAGCATTTGGCACGCACAGTTTGTTATCAAAAACTTGGCAGCAAGTGCTTTTTACTTATTATCCCTTCACCAGATAAACAGAAATACACACAGTTTGCAAATAGTCCAGTTCAAAACAAGAAACCTTCGGTAGATTTAAGCATTGTTCAAAGTGACTAGCCAGAGTTAGTTTTTGTCCGTCACAGAGTCTTAAATGGCCACCACACTCTCTTATATAGTCTCTGGGGTGTGGTCCAGTGACTCAGCCTAATCCCTGGCACACCTCCTCAACTGCTGCAACCGTTTATCACGCCTTCGTTGGCGTGGATCCAGGAACGACAGATCGCCTCCATCGCTATCATCAGAGACACCTGGCTCCTGGCTAATCTCCTCTTCCTCGGCCGGCACCTGAGGCAGAGCCAGAGAGGAGGGGCCTGGAGAGGGAGGCCTGGTCGACTCCTCTCCTTCATGTTCGGAGCCTTCTCCCTCCGATAAAATAGGCTCGGAGGACGGAGCCACAACATAGACCTTCTTTCAAGATAGAAGAATGACTCTTACCTTGATATTATAGCATTTAGCTTCAAGCTCACCTGTGTCGCCCAGATGATTGCATCAGAGTTAATGGTGAAATCCTGGCCTGGAAGAGCCCCGGGATCTATTTGTCCAACTTTAATGGGGACAAAAGATCGATTGGGGAGAAAAACCCAGTTGAGAAGATCATAACAAGCAGATCCCAGTCCATTTTCTGAGAAGGAAATTTCATCTCCAGCATTATTGTTGAACTGGACAGTCCTCAGATATGGAAGAAGCTGAAAGAAAAGGTAACTTTAGAAATAGGAGTACTTGAGTGAAAGCCATAAATGAGACATCACAGCTTCTAGCTGTCAGGATTCTGATGAATGCCCTAATTAATTCATGAGCCTCAAGCTAAGTTTCAAAAGAAATCCAGTTGTTTATTAGGAGCAACATGTCAGCACATACCCAAGTGGATTCAACTGTGCCCCACGCAATTTATGTCCCAACTATGACCCTGTTTCTTCCCTCCTCCCAGTGTGTGTCATAAATCACATTCTCCAACAGAGCACTTTTGTGGACTGTAGAGAACACACCTCTCCGGCTAGCTCTGGTAACCTAGGCTGCGGCCTTGAGAAAGTAATGCATGGAATGTGCTTCTGGTTGCTGCGATGTTGCTCTATCAGTTTTTCCCCCTCCTGCCTATGGCAACTCGAGAGTAGGCCAGGAATACTTTACGAGTTGACACTATCATTCTGGGATGGTCATCATCTTAAGAGATAGGTGTATATCTGAAGATTTTTTGGGTGGAAATCTGAGCAATAAGGAATAAAAAAAAATTGTCCACTGTCCCAAAATGACAAAAGTTTTTCTTTATTATTGGGCAGTTGTATGATGGCTACTTCAATCCTACTTTTACCAGATTGATACTTATATATAAAGATTTTAATTTCACATAGCAAATTTTACTGAGTGGTTTTGCTCCATTGATACTTTACTATATACATTTCTAAATGCTCCCTTTGGCCCAAGGTCTTGTTAATAGAACAAATGCATTATTGTGAATTATTGAATTATATCTATCATAATAGTGTGTAATTCCACTGACTTTCTCTAAGTGATATTCAAGGAGAGCATCATGGAGGAATCAGGTCTGAAAAAAATGGGGCCATATGGAAAGAAGTAATTATCCTGGTTTGTCACTCAACTACCCAGAAAAGTTCAACGTTTAGCCATTGAGACAGAAAAATGTGATGAATTTCAGACCAGAAACCTGCTCTGCATTCTGAAGTTCACACAACAACATGAACTATACAACGAATGGCAAACTAAACAGGTGCTGTGGGGTTATGTAGGATACTAAGTCATGGAAACATAAACCATACATAAACCAAGGTTACATTGAACTGGGTGTCACTCTACAGGCTGTCTTCAGTGTATCTGAGGTGGTTCAGCATGAATTTCAACTAGGACCTGTTTAAACATCATCCACAATCACAACCAGATTGTTATCTTGCTCTGCGTTGACATATCCTTTGTGCAATGGTCACCTTCTGGAACTCGAGTAATTCTTGAAGACCTTTCAGGACCTTATTGGAAGCTGTATCCATGACGGATCTTACAGAAAACTGGTTTGGGTCATTTAGAGTTGTTAACCTAACCTTGTGAAGCTTCTTCTCTGGTCATATTGTACTGTAAAGTAGGGCATACAAAACCTTTTCTAGACCAATTCTCGAATACATCTCATCTGCCTGGAACCCGCACTGTATATCAGACATTAATACAATTGAGCAAGTCCAGAGGTATTTCATGAGAAGAGTACTCCACTCCTCACAACAAAATACCTTATGCCACCAGGCTTCAAATTTTGGGCTTAGACAACTTAGAACTACGCTGCCTTCGGTCTGACCTAACTGTAGTACACAAAATTATCTGCTACAACATCCTAGCTGTCAATGACTACTTCAGCTTCAACCACAATAATACATGAGCACACAATAGATACAAACTTAAGGTAAACCACTCCAAACTCGACTGCAGAAAATATGACTTCAGCAACAGAGTGCTCAATGCCTGGAATACACTACCTGACTCTGTAGTTACTTCCCCAAACCCCCATAACTTTAACCTTAGACTGTCTACTGTTGACCTCACGCCATTCCTAAGAGGTCTTTAAGGGGCGTGCATAAGCGCACCAGTGTGCCTACCATCCCTGTCCTACTGTCCCCATTTATTCGTATCCTTATCCTGTATTCATAATCATGTTTATACTTATATCTGTAATCTTATACGTGTTTGATAGATAGATAGATAGATAGATAGATAGATAGATAGATAGATAGTGACCTTCTGAAACTCGAGTAATTGTTGAAGATCTTTCAGGACCTTATTGGAAGGTGTATCCATGACGGATCTTACAGACAACTGGTTTGGTTCATTTCTCTCCCCTCAGCCCCATTCCTTTTCAGCAAAATGCTATATTCAATATTTTTAACGATTGCTTTTTTAATATGCTTTCAGATTCATTGATAGGGTAGCATACAGATATTTAATCTTTTTTTTCTCTAAGGATTTGTGGCCTGAGTCCACAAATGGAGGTTACTTACCATGACTGGACATTTGAGATCCTCTTTCCAAGCCTGAACCTGGTTGGTTGAGTACCTGATACATACATTGCATGTAGTAAATATAAATTGTAGATAATGGACCTTATAGATAGGAGTTTCCTCAATGGGTCTCACTGACATCTGATTTCATTCACCTCTTTCCCTCCCATTTCCTTTCAACAAAAAGTTATGTTTAATTTATATTTTTTATAATTGCTGTTATATAGGCTTTCAGATTCCTCGATACAGGAGTATACAGATATTTAATCAGTAATTGAAGAAATGCATATGGGAAGCTTCCTCCTCTCTAAGGATCTGTGGACTGGATAAAAAAGTCAGAGAGATTACCTGCCATGACTGGACATTTGAGATCCTCTTTCTGAGCCTCATCATGGTTGCTCCAGTTCCTGATTCATACATTGCATGTAAAGCATGTGCCACAGCATAAACAGCATTGTAGATAATGTAACTTTCACCTGTCATGCTTGTTTCAAATAAATAAAGTGGCAAATTCCTCATATTCTCCTTTCCGGTACATAGTTTTGCCCCCTTTGGAGGGATCATTCCCGGTTTGTGGATTTTGCATGTAAAGATTTCTCCCCACCATAGTGGAAGTAAGTCATCTCCTTCTGGTTTCAAAGGGTCTAAAGACAGTAGAAAATGGTTGAATGCTGGGATTTTCCTGGTGTGGTCCGTAAAATGCAAAGCTCCGTGGAAGTACTTTGTATATTGGAATTCATCTTGAGATCCAATCATACTAAGGTCCCAATGAGAAGGTATAATCCAAACATTCCAAAATGATTTGGATCGTCCATAATTCTGCAGAGCGAACACTACCAATGTAATAGTAATGGAGTCTCCAAGCAGAATAATCACTTCAACTTTAAGCAGAAGCTTGAAAGCAAGATGTAACCCAAACACATTAATAAGAGGAATACCAGATTTGAATATTTCTGGGAAGGCCAGGCAGATGTCCTTCTCCTTGAGCATTGGCATCAGAGTTGAGATGAAACGTTTTCCACTGTCATCTTCAGAGGCCAGAAGACCAACCCAGTTCCACTGGAAATACAGGAGCAGCTGAACTAGACCGACAAATTGAGGGGATTTCTTGGAATTAATCCGGAAGAAAGAAGGATAAACTGTTCTGTCTCCTTCGGAGGACTCAAAACTGACACTAAGCTGGAGAAAGTGAGAGTTAAAGACAAAGTCAGTTTTATGGTGAGTTTAGGGATCGTGGTGATGAGGTTTATGCTTCACCTGTCAGGGTGGCTCACCCTGAGTTTCAAGATAAAGCTTTTTTCCTTCTTAGGAAAAGTCACCATATTATGCCTGGTTGTGACAGATCAGAAGACAAGGGAAGGAACTATCAACATGATGTTGAGCCATGATGGTGAACCTATGGCACAGCACCCTCCCCGATGGCACACAAGCTGTCACCCCAGTTCAGCTCCACTGTGCATGCACATGTGCCTTCTGCTGGCCAGCTGGTCTTCGGTCCTCTGCCGCGCATGCAGGGTTAATGCAGGGGGGCACATGTAGGGGGCACGTGCGTATGCAGAGGGGCACAGCAATGCAGGAGCTGCAAGTGCATGCACGGGGGTGGGGTGCATGCACGGGGGGCCGTGCACGCATTGCATTTTGGCGGTTTGGATGCACACACATGCATTCACAGACACCCATGCATCAGGGGTGGGTTCTAATTTTTTTTACTACCGGTTCTGTGGGCGTGGCTTATTTTGTGGGTGTGGCTTGGAGGTCATGTGACTAGGTGGGCGTGGCTAACTGGACAGAGTCATTTCTGGAAGGTCCTCGCACTTACGACCAGTCCTCACACTTACGACCCGACTCATTTGTTTGCTTTTAACACTGATCAGCTGTAGGACGGCCCTTTGAAGCCCTGCGGCAAGAGTTTAAACAGGTTTTTTTTCCCTCTAGTCATCAGCTGGGACTCAGGAGGCAGCAATAGATTGGGGGTGGGACCAAATAAATGGTAAGAATAACATGGGGGGGTGGGGGTGGGAGGGCGGGGGGGAGAACTGGTTCGGTGACGTCATATCGTCACCGCTACCGGCTCGGCCGAACCGGACCGAACTGGGAGGAACCCACCACTGCCATACACGCTTTGGGCACTCAGTCTGGAAAAGGTTAGCCTTCACTGATATAGAGAATAAACTGCACTGAAAGGGTGGCTACACTTCCATGAAAGTCAGGAAGGAAATTCCTCTTGGCAAGTTCAGCACTTTGGAATGATCTCATCTATCCCTTTTAAGTTATATAAAAATGTGTCTTGATACATAAAAATGAGTTCAACTGTAGCATAGATTCTCTAACTCATATACCCCCGATGTGCTCCACCTCACAAACTTCTTTGGTTTCATCTCTGGCTTCCCTTATATGTTTCTGTGGTAAACCCCCCTCCCCCGCCAGAAGAATGAAATATTTTGGGGAATATTAAAAGAGGCAGAATATTGTATTTCCCCAAAGGACAAATGAAGAAACATGTCCTTAAAGGCAGAAAGCAGCCCCAGTCTTTCTTAATAGCCTCCAGCAGATGCCTGAAGTCTTGAGAGATGGATATTTCATGCCCATTAAGAAAGGCTGGGCAAGCCTATTCACAAATAAAACACCTTCACCTCGAGGGACGGGATTAAAATTTACACCCCTCTCCACCAAAATTCTAAGGACAGGAAATGACCTTTAGGACATAATAGGATTATCCTACCACCATTAGAATAGCAAAAGACGCCAGGCTCACTACATTGCACAATCCCCTGCAGCATTTCAGAAACTGTACAAAAACCCTTGCACTCCTCAAGCTAATTTGTCAGCTGTCCCAGAACCACATGCTGGTTCTGCTCATCAATAAATGGAATCCTTCTTCCCAATCAGCCTCCATTTTATTTCTAGTGTCTTTCTCCAGCTTGGAAGTGAACTGGGTGGATTTTTCTTCCTACATTTCTTTTGTTTATCTACCTCATATTGTATGCAGTGAAGCCCCCTTACCTGTGGCACCTTGAAGATGCTGAAGATGGAGGCCATCTGCCTTGAGGATTTTGGGTTGCCACTTCCGATGACAGAGAGCAGAGTGTCCTGTCGGCCACATTTGTAGCCTGGAACCATTTGGCCTCTTGTGGAGAGCAGGGAGAGGCTGATTAAAGAACTATTCCTTTCAGTCTGGTGATTGTCATAGATGTGGAAGCCAAGAGTGATATTGGGAAGGAGAACCAGATCCTTGTTGACCTCTATGACTGCAAACTTCAAGGTCAGGAACTTCTGGTAGTTCTTGGGGATGGCCCTATGGTGAGAAAATCATTGGAGCTCATTTCAGAACAACGTGCTCTTGATTCTCTTCAGATATAGAACTACTGGCTCAAAATTAATGAAATGGAGATTGATAGACTCCCTAAGATATGTCTACTGGAGCGGTTAAAGTTGCAATCACAAATCTTCTGGATTACTAAATTGACAAATTATATAAAGAGTTGTGGTCTCCCTGCCCCCTGTGTAACAGGAGAACAAAAAAAAAAGAGTTGCCCAAAGAATCACGGAAATAGAAGCTCAAAACTACATAGCCACACTTAGTAAGGCTGGTAGCCTGAAATGGCTGAGCAAATATAAACATACCTTCCAAATGGACAACTATTTAAAATCACAATTGCCAAAACATCTCAGGGAGTCATTTACCCAAGCAAGATTTAGAATAGAATAGAAGAGAAGAGAAGAGAAGAGAAGAGAAGAGAAGAGAAGAGTTGGAAGGGACCTTGGAGGTCTTCTAGTCCAACCCCCTGCTTAGGCAGAAAACCCTAAATCATTTCAGACAAATGGTTATCCAACATCTTCTTAAAAACATCCAGTGTTGGAACATTCACAACTTCTGGAGGCAAGTTGTTCCACTGATTAATTGTTCTAAAGGTCAAGAAATTTCTCCTTAGTTCTAAGTTGCTTCTCTCCTTGATTAGTTTCCACCCATTGCTTCTTATCTTACCCTCAGGTGCTTTGGAGGATAGCTTGACTCCCTCTTCTTGGTGGCAGCCCCTGAGATATTGGAAGACTGCTATCATGTCTCCCCTTCTCTTCATTAAACTAGATATACCCAATTTCAGCAACCGTTGTTTATGTGTTTTAGCCTCCAGTCCCCTAATCATCTTTGTTGCTCTTTCTGCACTCTTTCTAGAGTCTCCACATCTTTTTTACACCGTGGCAAACAAAACTGAATGCAGTATTCCAAGTATGGCCTTACCAAGGCTTTATAAAGTGATATTAGCACTTCACATGAATTTGAATTTGAACAGCTTGATACAATGGTTAGATTTGGGAGATTCCATTCTATCCCATACAATGAACGTACATGAATCTGTGGAGTTGAAGAGGTAAAAGATCTGACTCATATATTATTCAATTGCTGTGTATATAAGGGGGTGAGAGATAAGTAATTTTTTAATTTATAATAATAATAAGTAATTTAATTTGTTGATTAGATTTATGTGCCCTCCATTTTATTATCAAAGTGACACTATTTTATGAGCTTGACTCTGTCAGAGTGCATGACCACTAGTTTGAGACCACTCAGAAGCAAAATACAGGACAGAGAAGTTTGTCTTAGAAACAGTGGTTTATCTATAAGTTATATACACTATATATACATACGTGTGTTAAGCAAAGCCAGGCAAGCAATCTTGTTCAACTCTACGTGGAGAACTACAATGCAGATACATGAGGAGAGAGAGTGATACACGAGGAGAGAGAGAGAAAGAGAGAGAGAGAGAGAGAGGGAGGGAGGGAGGGAGGGAGGGAGGGAGGGAGAGATGCCCTCTAACAGCCTCCCTTATATAGACAGCCTCTTAAAGGGCAATAACCCTGCTGACTCATCATCAGCTTTAAATGATCATTATCCTGACAGACTCTTTATTGTGAAAAGCACAAAAATTTGAACTACACTAGGACATTGCAAAGATCACTAGAACAAGTTTTTCTAAATTTTAAACAGAGCAAACATTTACATCTTTCCACTCCAGGTAAAACTTACACCAGCGTATAAGGAAACCTGGATGGGTCTTTTTTAAAGTCTGGGATGTTGGAGTAATGAAAGCTCGCCAGGAGCAAATTCCCACCAATAATGAGATCACCAGGCCTGTAATACTCTTGCTGAATCTGGAAAGTATTTGCAGATACAACTGATGTGCTCTTAGCAGAAGTTGGAGGCAGGAGCCAGAAGAGCAGCAGAAGGAGAGGCAACCTAGCCATTCTTCTCACCTTCCCTCCTAGATCAGAAATCAAGATTTGTGCAGAAGCTGAATTGCAGGTAGCACTTGAAATCTCACCAGAATTTTAGCAGAATAGAGGCTGGCTATGCAACCAGGATGGTCTCGGACAAATTTATATCAGCCGTGTTTCTTCTTACCTGCGTTTCTCCTGTGACCAAAGTGAAAAATAAGACCAGCGGAGTCACACCAAACCCAGGAGTTAGTCTTTGCAAGACAGGCTAAGGTGACATGTCCAGCCCCCACTTTGAGAAATAAGAGCATGTTTTTGTAAAGCAGGTTTATCTCATAAGATTTCCCCCCTAAGGATTCTGATAATTGTAAGGACAAGCAATTGCCCTACCCACTTAACATTAGGTTTTCTTTGTGCCCCAGGAAAGGAAATGTTTATATATTTTTGTAATCTACAGAACAGATGGATTTGAGAGTCCAAGTTAAGTTGGGCATTTGACCTATATGAAATTGAGCATCTGCAAACAAGATAGACTTTGGCCCCTGCCATCATTTGTTCAGACAGTATGGGTGCTAATGGGGAATGGCACATGGGAATGAGTTGTACCCTATTAAAGTGTGAGCAATCAAACCAATGTGTGGATGGCAAAACTGGTATAACAGAATAACAGAATTGGAAGTGACTGTTGGAAGAAATATCCATCTGGGTTGAGTTCCAAGTGGGGAGAAAGACACTGGAAACATGCAGGCTGCTTGGAAGGATGGTTTAATGGGGAACAGGACCACATGGGTTTTAGGTCCTGGGCAGCCGAACACATGGAGTGGAGAGTGAGTGTTATTTACACCTTCTCTTGGGCTTTGAACTTCAGCTTCCTGTTGCTGTGGCAAGGACAGGTATTCTAACTATTTGCTGTAGGGGTCATGTGCAAATCCTAGGTGTTTGTATGATATAAGTATGCTTGAACTATGCTGGGTGATGTAATATCCCCAGATGCCATGTGGTGAGCTAGATAATCCTATTATGTCCTGGAGGGTCATGTCTTAATCCTATCAGCTTCAAGCTTTTGTTTTGTAGATAGGTTGGCCCAGTCTTAATGTGCACCAAATATCTGCTGGGGGCAGGGAGCTGCTCTTTGTCTTTGGAAACCTGTTTCTCCTTTTCTCATCCAGGGAAATATAATATTCTGTTTTAATATTTTCTAAAATATTTCATTCTTCTAAGAGGGGTGGGTGCTAACTTTCTTCAGGACCTTGGAGGTCCTCTAGTCCAACCCCTGCCCGAGGCAGAAAATCTTACATCAGGGGTCCCCAATCCTCCAGGCTTCGGCCCACTACCAGGCCACAGCCTATTCAGCTCACTACCAGGCCACAGCCTATTTGACCCACTACCAGGCCACAGCCTATTCGGCCCATTACCAGGCCACAGCCTATTTGGCCCACTACCAGGCCACAGTCTATTCGGCCCACTACCAGGCCACAGCCTATTTGGCCCACTACCAGATCACAGCCTATTCGGCCCACTACCAGGCCACAGCCTATTCAGCCCACTACCAGGTCACAGCCTATTTGGCCCACTACCAGGCCACAGCCTATTCGGCCCACTACCAGGCCACAGCCTATTCGGCCCATTACCAGGCCACAGCCTATTTGGCCCACTACCAGGCCACAGTCTATTCGGCCCACTACCAGGCCACAGCCTATTTGGCCCACTACCAGATCACAGCCTATTTGGCCCACTACCAGGCCACAGCCTATTCAGCCCACTACCAGGTCACAGCCTATTTGGCCCACTACCAGGCCACAGCCTATTTGGCCCACTACCAGGCCACAGCCTATTTGGCCCACTACCAGGCCACAGCCTATTTGGCCCACTACCAGATCACAGCCTATTCGGCCCACTACCAGGCCACAGCCTATTCAGCCCACTACCAGGTCACAGCCTATTTGGCCCACTACCAGGCCACAGCCTATTCAGCCCACTACCAGGTCACAGCCTATTTGGCCCACTACCAGGCCACAGCCTATTTGGCCCACTACCAGGCCACAGTCTATTCGGCCCACTACCAGGCCACAGCCTATTTGGCCCACTACCAGATCACAGCCTATTCGGCCCACTACCAGGCCACAGCCTATTCAGCCCACTACCAGGTCACAGCCTATTTGGCCCACTACCAGGCCACAGCCTATTTGGCCCACTACCAGGCCACAGCCTATTCAGCCCACTACCAGGTCACAGCCTATTTGGCCCACTACCAGGCCACAGCCTATTCGGCCCATTACCAGGCCACAGCCTATTTGGCCCACTACCAGGCCACAGTCTATTCGGCCCACTACCAGGCCACAGCCTATTTGGCCCACTACCAGATCACAGCCTATTCGGCCCACTACCAGGCCGCAGCCTATATGAGTGTTCGGCAAACATGCCCACCACTTGTCCAAGTGTTATGGAATGATGGGACCAAACAACATTCCTGGGTCAGCCAGAGACAGTTTTATTGCGCAGTTTCAGAACCAGATTTGTATCTGCAATTCTGAACAAAGAAGAGCTCAGATACAACTGCTTTATCTTCAAGACAAAGGATTTTGCAAGCACAGCAGTTTTCCATATATGGTTAACATACATTTGTTACACGATAATTGACACTTTCTAATTACTAAATTCGTTCATTATTTTCTAGTTCATAAGATTATCTTAGCTAAACAACCTTCCTCAATTCTGTGATTGCTGATGCGTAGATTCATGGCTGCTTTGGCTTAATAAGTAACTATTTGTTTCATATGGATGTCCTTGTATCCTTGACAGCTAGGCCCCTCAGAAGATATATATTACCAAGAATGGAATTTAGCTGACTTAGTGTAATTTCTAAACAAGCACATTTCTTTCTTTATAATAATGTGAATAAAGAGGGCCCTTCAGTGTTCATATAGCTGACCCTGTACTATTCCTACATCATTCACATTAAAAGTATACACTTGTGCGCATACCACCGCTCACAAGAACTCCTCTCCCTCCTCCTGCCAGTCCAGCAAGTTGGAAAGATTGGAGACCCTATGCCAGTGACCTCCAACCTTTTGGGCACAACGGACCAGTTCTGTGGGGAAAGGTTTTTCTGCGGACTGGCGGAGGCATGGTTTTGTATGTTCTATGCTCTCTCCCCACAGATGGGGCTTCATTTGTTTGCATGGACTGCTTACTGTCATGCCACAGCCCAGTGCTGGTCCATGGACTGGGGGTTGGGGACCCCTGTCCTATGCCATTCCAGACAAATGGCTGTCCAATCTCTTCTTGAAAACCTCCAGTGATAAAGCAACCACAACTTCTGGTGGCAAACTGTTCCACTGGTTAATTATTCTCACTGTTAAGACGTTTCTCCTTAATTCCAGGTTGCTTCTCTCCTTGATCAGTTTCCATCCATTGCTTTTTGTCCTGCCTTCAGATGATTTGGAGAATAGATTGACCCCCCTCTTCTTTGGGGCAGACCTTTAGATATTGGAAGTTTGTTCACAGCCACATAACCAGGAGTGAAATGTTCCCAGTTTGGACCAGATCGCCCGATCCGTTAGCGATGGAGGCAGGTGGTTCGGAGAACCAGTAGCAAAAATCCCTGCCCCTCCCCAAGTCCAGCTGAGCCGCACAATCATCAGAGGCTTTTTTTTTTTTTTTACTTTTAAAAGCATTTTTTCTACATTCTCTTTGGTCAAAAAATACTCAGCTGGGATCGTCAAAGGCTTTTAAAAGAAACCCCCCCTTTTTTTTCTTTTAAATGCCTCTAACGATCAGGCAACTCAGCTTGGATCGTCAGAGGCATTTAAAAGAAAAAAAGTCTCTGCCGATCAGACAACTCAGCTTGGATCATCAGAGCCTTTTAAAAGCATCTTTTTACATGATTTTAAAAAATGGTTTTAAAAGTAAAAAAAAAAATGGCCATGCCCACCCAGTCACATTACCCCATCACCACCAAGCCACGCCCACAGAACTGGTAGTAACAAATTTTAGATTTCAACACTGCACATAACAGGTGATGAATTTAGAAACTAACTTCATTTTCTCCAACTGAAATGGGGAATATAATAAAGGCTTATATTCCTAGCAGTCATTTAAGTTAACTGATTGCCCCACCTTTTTCTTTTTCTCCAAGTTGATCTTATCTGCCTGCCTTCATTCCTTCAACATTCCCTTTCTGGGAGATACAGGCCTGGGCAGAAATTTTCAAAACTAGGCAATGGAAGACGGTAGAGGTGGGAGAAATACTTAGATTGAATAGCCAAGAAGCAGTTACAGATAGAGACAAAGATCCCAGAGAGGAATGTGGGAGGCAAATTAAAAAAAGCATAGCAACTAAAGTATTGAAGTGGGCAAGAGATGATGAATAGATGATTTTTTTTTTTGTTATTGCTCTGATTTGCCTTTCCTTTTCTTTCTCTCTCTCTCTCTTTTACTTTTCTTTTTTTCTATATAGGTAACACGACTATAAGTTAGATAGGATAGAAAGAAAATGTTTTTCAGTAAAAGGCAACATGATTAAAAGTTAGAATAAGTGATAGAAATAAGAGAAGGGGGAACATTAGTGTAGACACTTTTATATAATAAAATAAAAGTAGTAATAAGAGAAAACATGGAATAATTGAATAATGACAGATTTCAACTCATTATAATTGTGTATCATTATTAGAAATATATAAGTTGATTGAATGTAATAACCATGATTAATTTTACTATTCTTATTTGTATTAGAATGTATGACACTCAGGTGCCACACAAATCACAACATTGATTTTATATGTTTGAAAAAAAAAATAAAAAACTTATTTTAAAAAATGCCTTTCCAATGGTTTCCCTGATATCAGCCATACTCCCTTTATCTTGCAACAGTTGTATGTGAATTAAGACTGATGTGTGTTAAGATTTAACTTCATTTAGGGGTATAACTACAGATTGTACAGCATTAGAGACTAAATTGATTTTAAATTAAATATCAGCAGCTAGGCTGTTGGTAGCGCAATACTGGAAGAAGGACTTTTTGCCTACTATTGAAGAGTGGACATTGAAAGTAGCGAACCTAGCGGAAATGGCGAAAATCTCAGCGTACTTGAAGGACTATACACAAGAAAGATATGTATCGGAATGGAGAAGATGGATTGATTATATTCAAAATAAGTATCAGACAAGAAACTATCAAATAGCTTATGAATGAATGTTAAATTTTAGAAGTATTATGTTATCCATAGTAGAGTTAAGGTTTCAGGGGGGGATTTGGTACTTTAAGGATAGATAGGTTAATTTAGCTTATGATTGTTCACTGAAATATCCTGTATTTTGCTCTGGGAAGTCTGGGGGGGAGGGTGGGATGGGGGGAAGGGGTGTGGGGGTGGTAGGGAAAAAGGGTAAGGGGAATATTGGGGATTTTTTTTTTTTTGTAAAACTTTTCAATAATAAAAGATTTAACTTCATTTAGGAAGGAATTTCAATTCATTCCCTTTTTGCAGCGTGGAAAGATTCGGTGCTGCAGGACAGAGTTTCTCTATGTCTCTCCCACATATTTGCTGTTCCTCTTATGTCATCCTTTAAAAATCCCCACTGACATCCCACCTTCACTTCTGGCCCCACCTGAAACCCACAACCAGAGTTAGAAGTTTCTCTGGGAGAAAAATCATTTGGCTGCAAAACAGATGACAGACAGGAAATCGGCTCATCTTCTCAACATTTGATGGACTTTTCAGAAAAACGATCAAGGAATCAACTCTGCTTATGTTGGATATAAAAGCTCTCAATGCCATTGAAAGTATTGGTTTTAACCTTGAAAGACTGCCTGAATAGGTGGCTCAGTAACCTGACTAGGTGGCTGAGTGGCTAAGACACTGAGCTTGTCAATCAGAAAGGTTGGCAGTTCAATGGTTCGAATCCCTAGTACAGGTCTCCTGCGTGAGCAGGGGGTTGAATTAGATTACCTCTAAGAACCCTTCCAACTCTGTTACTGTTACCTGATTTGGAACAAAGGGATCAGAAGGACCAGCTTGCCCGAAGAGTTATGCTCAAAACTGAAGAGTTTGAAAGTGCAGAGGCCCTGTGTGACTCATGCTAACCTTGTGAAGTAGCTTGCTCCCAAAATTGGATCAGTTCCCATGTTCTATAAGATATTATGAGAGCAATCAACCAATGGAACAGAAGTTGTCTTCAGAAGTTGTGGGAGCCTCATCACTGGAAGTTTTCTCCTGCTTGAAGGTCCCCCTTCCAACTCTGTTAATCAGTTAATAATCCGTTCATAATTACAAATAGAATTATTCTGCAATGCATTTGGTATCTCAAGTATTGCTGTTAGTTTTATTGACTCAGTAAGTCTTCATATATTAACTGCCATTCTATGTGATGGCAGACCTCCATTTCCCATTGGTCCTGGGGATGGCCTGGCTTCGGGCCCACGATCCGCAGGTGGTGTGGTCAAAAAATGCCATCTCGTTCCTGAGCCTGCAGTGCATCGACCACCTCCACCACACCTGTGCCGGCCAGGACATCTCCACCCCGGCCATTGCCTTGCCTCCTGAGCTGGCGCCCTTCGCCGACGTGTTCAGCGAAAAAGAGGCGGACCGACTATCCCCGCACCGACCCTACGACTGCCCGGTGGACCTGCTCCCCAATGCGCCACTGCCCGCAGGATGCCTATATTCCATGTTGGAGCCCGAGTTGGCCACCCTACAGGACTTTCTGGACAAGAACCTGGCCCGAGGGTTCATCCGGCCTTCGTCCTCCCCTCTCTCGGCCCCGGTCCTCTTTGTGAAGAAGAAGATGGGGGACTTACGCCTGTGCTGCGATTACCGGTGCTTGAATACCATCACGGTGCGGAATTGCTACCCCCTGCCGCTCATCCCGGAGCTGATGGAGAGGTTGTGGGAGGCCTCGATCTTCACCAAGCTCGATCTCCGAGGGGCCTACAAATTGTTGAATGTTTCTTTGTAAATCGCCCTGAGTCCTTTGGGAGAAGGGCGGCATATAAATTACATAAATAAATAAATAAGGGCTCCTGAGACTAGACCATATTTGGGCAAGTGAGACAGACCTTGCACTGTAACTCCACCCCTACTCCCCATCTCTCTGTGGGTCTGCAAGACTTTCTGGAGTATTATCAATAACTAAAGAAAATTGACCCTATGTTTATCACCTATGATACGAAAGCTTGATACCTTTAATTTACAGGATGGAATTGAAATTATGGATACAAGATTTGGGGTACAAAAAATTAAGTGGCACTTGGTCACAGAAAAGATGTACAAAAATATAGAATCCTATATCTGTAAAGTTGGAAGGGACCACTAGGATCATCTTGTCCCTCCTGTCGACTCACAAAGCATCTTGCTGTCAGACTGCGGTACTGTCTCAAAATTAAATGAATCTCCAAACTGCCAATCTTTAAGGAAATCTTTCTTTAATTGAGCTCAGCCACCGGATCATGACTCCGCGTGGACAAGACTGACCTTTTGCCTCCCAATCCCTCCCTTTCCGACCCCCAAGTCTCTGCTTCTCATTGGCTGTCTTCCAAGTCATTCTTCAGACTTCGTTTCCCCGTCATTTCTCAGGAATGTACCCCCCTCCCCTGATCTCCACAACAACCAAGCTTCAAAGGGATTTTGCAGGCAAAAGTTTCAGAGTTTATCTTTCGCTCTCCTCTGCTTTCTCTCTATGCCAGCGTTGCAATGCTGACACTTGAGTTGCCATAGGCCAGGTGGGATGGGAAACCGGTGAAATGGCACAGCAGCCAAAAACAGATGCACATTCCATGCTTATCTCTCTCAAGGCTGTATCCCAGAGTTACCTACAGCAGCCGGAGGGGAGTGACCTCTACAACCCACGAAATTGCTCCTTTGACGAATGTGATTGATGATACACCCTGGGGGGAAACAGGGTCATAATTGGAGTGTAAGTTATGTAGGTTCAGAGCTGGCTTGCTGACTCACCAGTGAAGATGGCCCCTCCAGCACTTAGCTCATGCCAACTTCCTCCATCTCATCCTCTGAATCAGTATGCGAAGATAAAACAGCCTCCGGGGCCGGAGTCACAACTCTGGTTAAAACCAGGAAGTAATGATACCCAGGCAGGTGGGCGGAGCTTTGCTCCACCATCACTACTGGATCACAGAACTACCCACCACGATCGCTACTGGGTCACCCGATCCGGTCCGAACCGGGAGCATTTCACCCCTGATCTAGGGCAAAAAACATACTTAAACATACTTATCTTTTATTTTATGTACACTGAGAGCATATGCACCAAGACAAATTGCTTGTGTGTCCAATCATACTTGGCCAATAAAAAAATCTATTCTATTCTAAACACTGATAGTGAATCCAATTCAACACATTTTAACTTTAACCCTTTTGATTCAAATAAATGAAGTAGGAAACTGTTTTTTTCCAAGCTCGTTACTGTGGCCTCACTGAGGTCAAGAGGAGTAAGTGAAAAAGGGTGATTGTTGCTGATACTTTGTATTCAGTCACATAATTTAATTTCCAATTATTTCATAGAGAAGCTCCTCTCTCATTTCATCATTTTAAGAAATCAGATGAAATAATAATGCCCCCAAAGTCAGAATAAGTTCCCAATCCCTGCATAAATCAGAAGTGATTGTTCCTCATTATATTTTCTCTACAAGTTAGACCAGGCGTAGGCAGAATAATGTAGCATTAGTTAGAGATTTTTGTTCCTCATCATATTTTCTCTACAATTCAGATGGGGCCTCAGCAGAATAATGTAGCATTTGGGGGAAAAGATACAAGCCAAGAGACCAGCCCCAGAGGCCAAGATGGAGAAGATCTCCACGGCCACCATGGACTTCCCTTTGGTGCTCAGGTAGGTGGGGAGGAAAGTGATCCAAACACTGCAAAAGACCAGCATGCTGAAAGTAATGAACTTGGCTTCATTAAAACTGTCAGGCAATTTCCTAGCCAAAAAGGCCACTGTGAAACTGATGAAGGCCAGAACAGCCAGATAAGCAAGGACAGCATAAAACATTGAAACTGAGCCTTCATTACATTCCAAGATAATCTCTCCTACCAAGGAATGGAAGTCCAGATTGGGAAATGGGGGAGAAGTTACCAGCCAAGTGGCACAAAGAACTGCTTGGATCAGGGGACAGCCTAAGACAATGGAGTTGGTCAGTGGTTTTCCTAAGAGTTTCCTTGTCTTGTTTCCTGGCTTGGTGGCCATGAAGGCAAGAACCACCATGACAGTTTTTGCCAACACAGAGGACACTGCAAGGGAAAAGAGAATGGCAAAGGCAGATTGTTGGAAGAGACAGGTGATCTTCCTCGGTTTTCCAATGAAGAGGAAGGAGCAGAGGAAGCAGAGCAGGAGGGAGACCAGGAGGATGTAGGTGAGATCTCGGTTGTTGGCCTTGACGATCGGTGTGTCACGATGTTTAAGGAAAATTGCCAGAACTCCCAAGGTGATCATGGAAAGAGAAAGTGTGAGGGAACTTAAAGCATATCCCAGGGTGTCCTGATAGGAAAGAAAATGGATCTTCTTGGCAATGCAGTGGTCCTTGTCCTTGTTAGGATATTGATCTTCTGGGCAGGGGTCACAGCGAGCTGCATCTGAAATCAAGATTAAGTGATAAGATGAAAGTTCTTAGTCTTTGTCTAAGGATTTTAGGGGCTTCTGCCACAAGCATTATTCCTCCCTCAAGGATACCGTGACTGTCCTACTGTGCATGTTGTGGACATCAAAGAGAGAAAATCCTTCTTCAGTGATGATGACCCTGGCAATAAATTAGCCAGAGACAAGGTTCTGTTCAGTTCCAGTTAGCCTGGTCAGTTTGCACTGGAAAGAAAGACCAGTCATTGGCAACTTCCCTGACTACTGAGGCTTTCAGTGTGAGAGAAATTGCCAAGTGTACTTTTCCTCACATGCCTCTGCATGGCAGTGGCAAGAGAGGAGAGCAATGTTGAGTGAAGGATGTGTTTCTTCTGCTTGTGCTCTAGGTCCGTGATGGCAACCTATGTCACACGTGCCCAAAATGACGCATGAAGCCATGTTGCCTGGCATGTGCGGCCTTGCCTGTTTGACTTCCAGGTTTCCAGCGTACATGCGTGTGTTACAATCAGCTGTCCTTCGCATGTATGGCAGTGCCAAAAACCTGTGAGCACATGTGCGCTAGCCAGCTGATTGTTGGGCACGCATGCATGCTAGAACCCAGATGTTTGGCTTTTCCAGAGCACGATCCCTTCACACATGTGGCAGTGGTGAAAACTGGCCTGCTCATGCGTGTCAGCCAGCTGATCATTGGGTGCACATGCGCGCTGGAACCCAGAAGTTCGGCTTTTCTGGAGCATGGCCCCGACAAGCGTGCATGTATGCAGCAGCAATGTTTTCGCGCAACCTTTTTGCCATCACTACTTTAGGTAGAGACATCTAGTTGTATACCCTTAAAGATAACACAGGAGGAAGATGGCCAAGAGGGATATTCTGGATTCAGAGTAAACCTCAGCTGTCAGGTGTGTCTCTGTTCAAAACTCAAGAAAAACCTCAACTCCATGTTTGTAGAGAAAGGTACTTTTACTGAGCATGAACTGAATGCAACAAAAGGAAAGCAAGATCTGATGCAATAGGAGCGAAAATTACATATTGAAAATATTCCCAAATCCCTCCCCGCAAGGACCCAGGTTGAATATCCAATCCCTAGCCCCCCAAGGCATCATGTGAGGTGCATCTTCAGATGGTCCCATCCTTCTGGTATGCCAGAATGGTTGACTTTGATGGACTATCAGCAACTCCATTCAGCTGCGCCGAAGACGATGAGAAAATTCCCCCCTTTCATGAGACATCTCCATCAGCACACTTCCCTCTCCCAAATACCTATACACCCTCCCCCCCCCGTTACTATGGCAGCCAATGCAAGCAAGCAACATAGAGGCTGACATCAGCATTCAAAACTGTGTTTTAGTAAGTTGATTAAGCTCGATCAATGTCATTGTGGGTACTGTGAAAACCCCTGAAATGATCATAAGCTGTTTGTAACTTTCCCATCACTTCCCCTTATGGAAAACATGTTTATTTTTTTTTCTTAGCAGATAAACTTGGTAAGGAAAAAGATAGAGAAAAGTAATGCAAGCTTTCTTACTGGTAGAGGTAAGATCCTTTGACTATAGAGTTAAATGTGATTGCTGATTCATTCATTCAGAGACAGATTAACAGAGTTGGAAGGGACCTTGTAGGTCATCTAGTCCAACCCCCTGCCCAAGCAGGAGACCTTACACTATTTCTGACAGATGGCAGTTCAGTCTGTTCTTGAAAGCCTCCAGGGATGAAGCTCCCACAACTTCTGAAGGCAACTTCTTTTCCATCGGTTGATTGTTCTCACTGTCAGAAAGTTCCTCCTTATTTCCAGATTGAATCTCTTCTTGTTCAGTTTCCATCCATGGTTCCTTCTCTGGCCTTCAGGTGCTTTGGAAAAATAGCTTGACCCAAGTTCTTCATTGAGTTCTTCATTTAGGAAGAAATCTTCCAGGGTAGAATCCACTTAATCTTCCTTTATTTTTAGAGCTGCAAAATTGTCATAAATGCAGGTCTACATTAGGAAGACGGGCGCAACTGATTTGCTACCTCATGTTCTCTTTTTCTCCTAAACCTCCCCATTCCTGTTTGAGGATCTCCTTGAGCACAACTTGCCTGTTTGATTAGAAATGGTCCTCTCTGGGCAAGAAACACATCCATAGCAACAAGTGGGCTTCTCCTCTGCAACTTTCTTGGCTTGACCTGGAAGGCAATGCTTCACACAACGGGAGAAAGGCTTTGTCTGAAAGGAGAGTGAGATTAGCTTTGAGATGGAGAGGTTAGAAATGTTCAGCTTGGCTTCGGGGTCTGCATAAAAGCAGCCCCTCTTCTTCCTTCCCCCAAATTCTGATAGGAGTTTTCATCACAACATCCTGTTCTATTCTCTCAGCTTTCCTTAACCCTGGAAGAAATATTTAGTCCCCACCTGGTTAGTCCACACAATGACATCGGGATCAATGCCGAAATCTGCCCCTGAAGGAGTTTCCGGATCAACCCATCCGACTTTCTGCCGAAGGATCGTCTTATTTGCAAAGACGATCCAGTTTAGGATGTCAAATCCTGCATATTTCATTCCATTATCTGAAAAAAAGACTTCATCCCCAGCACTGTTGTTAAAGCGGATATTTCTCAAGAAAATATGGATCTGAAATTGCAAACCAAGCAAAGAATTAAAAAAAAAAAAAAAGGATTGAGATTTTGGAAAAAGTGAAAAGAAGAGCAACTAAGATTTATTTATTCATTTATTATTTGTATTTCTATGCTGCCCACTCTCCGAGGACTCTGGGCGGCTTACACCAAAGACAGTATACTAAATAGCATATTGCCCCCCAACAATCTGGGTCCTCATTTTACCCACCTCGGAAGGATGGAAGGCTGAGTCAACCTTGAGCCAGTGAGATTTGATCCGCTGAACTAGCAGCCAGCTGAAGTAGCTGCAGTACTGCACCCTAACCACTGCACCATCTCGGCTCTTATGAGATGAGAAGATGATTAAGGGCTTAAAGACAAAAATATATGAAGAACGGTTGCAGGAATTGGGTTTGGCCAGTCTAAAGAAAAGAAGGAGTAGGGGTGACATGATAGAAGTCTTTGTATTTGAGGGGCTGCTACAAAGAACAGGGGGATCAATTTATTTTCCAAAGCACCTGAAGGCAGGTCAAGAAACAAAGGGTGGAAACTAATCAAGGAGAGAAGCAACCTAGAACTAAGGAGAAATTTTCTGACAGTGAGAACAATTAACCAGTGGAACAGATTGCCTCCAGAAGTTGTGATGGGTGCTCCATCACTGGAGGCTTTTATGAAGAGACTGGACAGCCATTTATCTGAAATGGTATAGGATCTCCTGATTAAGCAGGGGGGCCGACTTGTTCCCCTTATGAAACTTCTGTTGACCAGAAATTTCTGTAACTTTCATGATATGAGAGTTAAATAATAGGGGATGAAAGTAGTTAGAGAAAAGGCAAGACGGAGGAGATCACAGGCAAAAGTTTATAAATCCTAAAACAGTGCAATGTGAATGTAGGCAAGAGAAGGAAGGATTCCTCAGCCAGAAGGGAAGATGTGAAGATGACAATTACCTGCCAGGGCTTCACATGAAGTAGGTGTGGTTTATTTCTGCCCCTCTTCAATGCCCATTGTAATTCTGATGTGTACGCAGCATGTAATGCATGTGCCACGGAATAGGCAGCATTGTAGACACTGTAGCTGAAACCGGTCATCTTTCCATCAAAGACGGAGGCCGGGAGAGTGTCCAGGTTCTCCTCCCCTGTGCAAACCCTTCGGCCATAAGGGGAGGACACACCTATTTTCAAAACCTGACAGTCAAATACTACTTCCCACCATTCGGGGAGAAAGATGTCTCCGTGGGGTTCATGTGGATTCAGAGCCCAGAGATAATCTTTGAATCCTGGCACCGGCTTCGTATGGACGGTCAAAGACAAAGCGCCATGGAGGGATTTTAGTTTCCCCCACTCGTAGTGATTACCAAAAGCTGAAAATTCCCATTGGGTGGTCAGGATCCAGACCTTCTCAGTGGTAGCGTAGTTCTCTTCTTCATAAAAGGAGAGGGTCACTATAAGTCTGTGCAGTGCGTTAGAATCCCCCGAGACAATCACAACCTGAGCATCACTGTTCAAAATTGTCAAAAGCAAACGTATCTCGTCCCTGTGCAATTCGTTGAACATTGTAAAACGGGGCACAATATGTTTCACAAATTGTACACAAATGTCATTGTGAGCAAGGGCGGCATCAAAAATCCGGATGAAATGGTCACTGCTCTCTGACTTCTGAACAACGATCCCAATCCAGTTCCATTGGAAATAGAGAAGGACCCGGACGATGGCTGCGTTCTGTAGGTGATACTGAGGATCGATCTGGTAGAAGGTGGGGAACCAAGTCTTATCCCTCAAAACAGGATCTGAGCAGCGGTAACCTAGCTGAAGGGAGGGTGCAGATGGAGGAAAAAGAAAAAAATTAAGCATGGAAAATGGTGCCTGTGTTTTTTTGTTACTAACTTCAGACCGTCTAGATTAGCAGTATTTCCAATCTAGACCCAGGGGTGGGATTCTACCGGTTTGGACCAGTTCAGCGAACCGGGATCTCTGATGATCAGCTGGGAGTGAACCAATTCACTCCAACGATCAGGTTGCCCCACCCCCCTGACACTGGGCTTTACTTACTTTTATCTTCTCAGCTGATTGGTGCAGCAGAGCGGATTGCTGTGCCTCACGTGTGTTACTCCCAATTGGTAACACAGAATGTAAAACTGTGCACGCACATGCAGCACACAGTAGGCGCCCGTGAATCGCGTGATAACCGAACTGATTGTTAAACCAGCAGCATCCCATGACTATCTAGACCCCCTTCCCCCACAACCTCCCACCTTCATGAGATGTTTTCTATCGGTCACAGAATTGGGTCGGCGAGTTTTTGGCAGTAACCACACAAGGCAGAACTTATTTCCTTACATCTGCATTTCCCCCTGTCATCATGTTGTGGTCTTCCGGGTGCGATTCACGGTGTTGGTCATCACCTTTAAAGCGCTCCATGGCATTGGACCTCGATACCTTTGAGACTGTCTTCTGCCATCAGTAGCCTCCCACCAGCCAGTCCGCTCCCACAGAGAGGGTCTCCTGAGGGTGCCATCAGCCAAATTATGTCGGTTGGCGACACCCAGGGGGAGGGCCTTCTCTGTGGGAGCCCCTGTCCCTGTGGAATGAACTGCCCCCAGAAATTCGTAAAATCTTTGATCTCCATATATTTCGCTGTGCCCTCAAAACCTTGTTGTTCCACCAGGCTGGGCTATCAAGGTAAAGATTTTAATTGGGTTTTTAAAAATGGGATTTTAAATTTGGGGTTTTAAATTGAGCCTATCATTTAATAATTTTAATTATTTTTAAATTTTGTCTGTCTTTGTGCTTTTAATCAGGCTGTACACCGCCCTGAGTCCTTCGGGAGAAGGGCGGTATAGAAATAAAATTAATAAAATAAATAAATAAATAAATAAATGTTACGTGCCCAAGTACCTGAGAAATCTTGAAATTGCCAAACATGGTGGCCATCTGGTATGAGATCCTGGAGTTGAGGCCCCCAAGGACAGAGAGAAGATTGTGCTGTGTATCACACTTATAGTTAGGAAACACTTTTCCCCGGCTGGAGAGCAGAGACACGCTGACATCTTGGGCCATGATTGCATACTGGTTCTCTTCATAGATGCGGAAGCCAAGAGTGATGTTGGGGAGAAGCCGTGGGTCTTTATTGATCTCCTGAATGGCAAATGCCAAAGCCAGAATGTGTTGGTAGTTCTTGGGAATAGGACTTTGTTGCAAGTGTTAGAGGACAAGAATTAGACAGGAGCAGGAGGGAGATGTACTGTTTATTTTGTTAAGAAAGCATTATCAGGATTCTAGGAGTTAATCATAGAACAGATCAATACAAATTAGTTGATTTGTGTTATCAGTTGAACCTGTTACTATTGTCAACAGTGTATGACAAAGCCTCTTCTCTCTCTTTCAGCTCCACCTTTAAGTGAATTCATTCACAAGTTATAATTTACAGCATGAGCTCAGCTCAGGTTGGTATTGACTTTTCCAAAAATGAACTTTTCAGTCCAGTTAAGGAAACCTGGCTTATTATTTGATAATTGAGTCTGTCATCTGCACCTCTATAACTGTCTGATTTGGCTCTGCAACCCAACAAGACAGACACAGACTTCAGAGGATAATTAGAACTGCAGAAAAAAAAATGGCTACCAACCTGCCTTCCATTGAGGACCTGTATCCTGCATGAGTCAAAAACAGGGCTGTAAAAATATTTACAGACCCCTTGCATCCTGGACATAAACTGTTTCAACTCCTACCCTCAAAATGACACTATAGAGCACTGCACACCAGAACAACTAGACACAAGGACAGTTTTCCCCCCCGAACACCATCACTCTGCTAAACAAATAATTCTCTCAACACTGTCAAAACTATTTACTAAGTCTGCATTACTACTAATCTTCTCATCGTTCCTATCACCCATCTCCTCCCACTTATGACTGTATGACTGTAACCTTGTTGCTGGTATCCTTACGATTTATATTGATTGTTTCCTAATATGATTTGATTGCTTATTCGTTCCCTATGACTATCATTAAGTGTTGTACCTTAAGATTCTTGATGAACGTATCTTTTGTTTTATGTACCCTGAGAGTATATGCACCAAGACAAATTCCTTGTGTGTCCAATCACACTTGGCCAATAAAGAATTCTATTCTATTCTATAAGACCACACCTGGAATTACTGCATCCAATTTTAGTCACCACATTACAAAAAAGAGGTTGAGACTTTGGAAAAAGTGCAGAGAAGAGCAACTAAGATGATTAAAGAGAGTAAAACATAGGAAGAATGGTTGCAGGATTTGGGCTTGCCTAGTCTAGAGAAGAGAAGGTCTGGGGGTGATATGATAGCAGTATTCCAGTATTTGAGGGACTGCCACAAAGAAGAGGTGGTCAACTTGTTTTCCAAAGCACAAGAAACAATGGATGGAAACTAATCAAGGAGAGAAGCAACCTGGAATTAAGGAGAAACTTCCTAACAGTGAGGACAATTAACTAGTGGAATAGCTTGCCTTCAGAAGTTGTAGGGGCTTCATCACTGGAGGTTTTTAAGAAGAGACTGGACAGCCACTTGCCTCAAAGTGTATAGGGCTTGAACAGGGGGTTGGACTAGAGGATCTCCAAGGTCCCTTCCGGCTTTATTCTGATTGATTGATTTAGAAAACTGCACACTTTATTTTATCCAGTCATGGGAATCTTTACAGGCTGTCAACTTCTGTCTTACATACTCAAGCACTTTTTCCCCAACTTGGCACACCTCACCTCTCACATTACCAAAGTCCTTTTCAATTAGGTGGCTTTACGAATCCAGAAAAAAAAAAAGTGGGGGGGCTGGTTTAAATTGAATTGAATTGAATTGAATGCCTGAGAAGGTTGGCTTTTTCTGGCTAGAAATGAATAATGCATCTGGATGGCCCTCAGTTTGAAAGTGTCCTTTTAGTGTCTTGAAATACAGAAGTAGGGTGAGATTACTGAGCTAGCCTGTAGATTCTGAAAGAAATTAGCTCCATTGATAAATAACTTTATTGTCATTGTACGTGTATACATAGTATACCAAT